AGAGGAAACCCAGAGACACAGGACGCCCCTTTCCTGTGGTCGGCACCCAGTTGCTTAGGCAGGCCAGCCACGGTGAGGAGTCTTCCCTCCAAGTTTATATTTATTATTATTTATTTTTTATTTTTTCACCTCCAAGTTTATTATTATTATTATTATTATTATTATTATTGTTATTTTGAGACAGAGTCTTGCTCTGTCGCCCAGGCTGGAGTGCAGTGGCGCCGTCTCGGCTCACTGCAAGCTCCGCCACCCGGGTTCACGCCATTCTCCTGCCTCAGCCTCCCGAGTAGCTGGGACTACAGGCGCCCGCCACCACCCCCGGCTAATTTTTTCTATTTTTTAGTAGAGTCGGGATTTCACCGTGTTAGCCAGGATGGTCTTGATCTCCTGACCTCGTGATCTACCCGCCTCGGCCTCCCAAAGTGCTGGGATCACAGGCTTGAGCCACCGCGCCCGGCCTATTTATTTATTTTTGAGACAGAGTCTGGCTGGAGTGCAGTGAAGTGCTGGAGTGCAGTGGCACGATCTTGGCTCACTGCAACCTCCGCCTCCGGGTTCAAGCAATTCTTCTGCCTCAGCCTCCAGAGTAGCAGGGATTACAGGCGCGTGCTACTGCATCTGGCTAATTTTTGTAGTTTTAGTAAAGACAGGGTTTCACCATGTTGGCCAGGCTGGTCTCGAACTCCTGACCTCAGGTGATCCGCCCACCTCAGCCTCTCAAAGTGCTAGGACTACAGGCGTGAGCCACCGCACCTGTCCGACCTCCAAGTTTAAAGACAGCCTCCAGGCCCAGTGGCTCACTCCTGTAACCCCAACAACTCAGGAGGCTGAGGCCAGGAATTTGAGACCAGCCTGGGCAACATAGTGAGACCCCAGCTCTAACAAAAATAGGCCAGGCACGGTGGGTTACATCTGTAATCCCAGCACTTTGGAAGGCTGTGGCAAAAGGATTGCTTGAGGGGGTAAAAAATCACCCCGGGGTAGCGTGCACACTTACAGTCTCAGCTACTTGAGAGGCTGAGGTGGGAGGATCACTTAAGTTGGAGGCTGCAGTGAGCTAGGATGGAGCCACTGTATTCCAGCTTGAGCAACAGAGCAAGATCCCATCTCCAAATAAATAAATTTTAAAAAGACAGCCTCCAAAGATGTCACTTGCTTCACTTAGCACTTTTAATTGAACATGTTTAGGAAATATATAGCCATGGTAAAGAAAATTCCAATTAGTACAGATACACACTACACACCTATGCACGTGCACACACTGAAACGTGTCCCTTCCAGCACCTCCTCCCTGGATAATTTTTTTTTTTTTTTTTTTTTTTTTGCGACGGAGTTTCGCTCTTGTTGCCCAGGCTGGAGAGCAGTGGTGAGATATCGGCTCACTGCAACCTCCACCTCCCGGGTTTGAGCGATTCTCCTGTCTCAGCCTCCCGAGTAGCTGGGATTACAGGCACCGCCCCCACCCCCAACAACATCTGACTGATTTTTGTATCTTTAGTAGAGACGGGGTTTACGCCATGTTGGCCAGGCTGGTCTCGAACTCCTGAGATCCGCCGACCTTGTCTTCCCAAAGTGCTGGGATTATAGGCGTGAGCCACTGCACCCAACCTAAAGTAATTGCCTTCTTTCTGGTTTCTCTGCCTTTCTTCTCACCAAATGCCCCACTCTAAATCACTGCAGACAGGGGGCTCTGTCTAAGGAGGAGAGCCCACCAGTTAAAACCCTTCAGTGGTTCCTAACTACCCTAGGACAAATGCAGACTTGTCCTTTGCTCTCTGCCGCCGCCCTTCTCCTTCCCAGATCCCATATGGCTCCAGCCATATCCTCAGACCATCTGGGCTGTTGTCTATTCTGTCACACACCCTTCCCACCCGGCTCCCTTGCAAGTCCTACTCAGGCTGCACCTACACAGCTGTCTCAGTTCCTATCTGAGGCTCCCGCAGCCTCCTCTGAAAGTCCTCATCACAGCCAATGATAACTGAAACTGTTTTCTTGTGCAGGGCACGGAAAGATCTATTCAACTCACTGCCCAATCTCCTCTCCTGGTGCAGAAAAGACACCCAGTCAGCGACTTGCATTCTCTGCAGACATGAGTGAATAATAATAATGCCTAACCTTTATATAGTGCTAATTCCACGCCTGGCACTGTTTTAGGCAGTCATATAAATTCATGTAATCCACACAACCTCAAGACTGATGATACCTCATCATCTTACCAAGCACTGAGCAGTTAAATAACTTGCTCCAGATATTAAGGAGCTGGGGTTTGAACCAACCAGCCTGGTTTCCCATAAATGAACCAAGAACTGGAACGAGGACAAGACCTCCGAGAAGGAGTCACGTAGGACGTGATTTGTGCGCTTTACATCTAAGATCTTCCAGCTCCCAGGGACCCCGTTTCATGGAGCGGAAGATAGAGGCCGGGAGGGACAAGGAGAGCCTCGGAAGCCGTGTGGAGTAAGCGGTGCTGTTTGGGGTCCGGGAGCAGGGGCGTGGCCTGGATGCGCGGGCGCCAGGGGCTGCACGTCCTCAGACCAAACTACAACTCCCAGGACGCACTAGGCGCTGCCGCCCACGCGACGTCACGGCGGCGGAGGCGCAGGCGGCTGGGCTCCCGGCGGGTGGACTGTTCGAGCCCTTCCGCTGGGACCCGGGCCCTGGCTCCGGCCCCGCGGTAAGTGGGGCGACTCCGGCTTACCGAGTCCGCGGAGGCCCCGCGGCGTACGTCCGCAGCCTCCATCACAGCGCGGGCGCGCAGACGGGGTGGCATCTACCATATGGGGGGCATCCGGGCCGAACCAAGTGACCGGCGTGGGGGACCCCGCTGGGGACTCCGGGCCGCACCCTCCCTAGCTGGCCCCAAGGGCCCAGCGCTGGTGTCGCATGTCCGCTGGCCGCGCTCAGGGCCCGCGTTTGAAGGCGCTGGGCAGGCAGGGGCAGCCCCGCCCCCTGAGGAGGGTGCCCAGGACCCCGGGGCGCCGCGGCGAGGTTTTCGGGCTGGAAGGGTCTGAGGGGCTCCTCCCGCGATAGCCCTCCCACCGCCAGTAGAGCCTCGGGTTGGGGAATAGAAGCCCCGCGAGGCTAGGTCCTTTGGGCGCAGCCTGTGTGCGTCTGGGGAGGCGGTGGGAGGGGTGGGGAGAGGTCGCCCGGGTCTGGGTAGACTGATGTACAGGTGGAGATACGGTGCAGGCTGTGTGGATTCAGATCCTTACAACTTCCTCTTCCCTGCCCCGGTAGATGGGAGCGCCCTCCGAGGGCTGAGCCTGTCAGCATCCTCGATGCACCCTGGTCCCTGAAGTCGGAGAAGAGCCCCTACCCACCTACACCCCCTTGCGCCATTTCGGGTCACCTGGGTCCTCAGCCCTAGCGGCCACCAGATCTGAAAGGAGCAGGACGATGATCCTGGCGTCGGTACTGGGGAGCGGCCCCCGGGGCGGGCCTCCGCTCCGGCCCCTCCTGGGGCCCACACTCGCGCTCCGGGCCCGCTCGACGTCAGCCACCGACACACACCACGTGGAGATGGCTCGGGAGCGCTCCAAGACCGTAACCTCCTTTTACAACCAGTCTGCCATCGACGCGGCAGCGGAGAAGGTGCGCAAGTGGGCGGCGAGCCCGGGGTCCGGGATGTGGCTGCGAGGGAGAGTGTTGGGGGTTCTCTGCTCAAGGCCCCTCTCCCTCCCTAGCCCTCAGTCCGCCTCACGCCCACCATGATGCTCTACTCCGGCCGCTCTCAGGACGGCAGCCACCTTCTGGTAAGATTTATGCCCTCTATTTTCCTCGTGGATCCTGGAGCTCTCCGGGACACTCAGGCTCCAGCCCCGCCTTCCTTTCTCTTTTTCTCCTAGAAAAGTGCTCGTTACCTGCAACAAGAACTTCCAGTGAGGATTGCTCACCGCATCAAGGGCTTCCGCTGCCTTCCTTTCATCATTGGCTGCAACCCCACCATACTGCACGTGGTAAGGTAGAGAGGACCTTCAGTCAGCGGGCCACCCTGCCCAGGGGGCAAGTGGGGAGTCTGGGGCCCAGAGTGGCAGACGATTGCTTGCCTAAAGGTGTCAGGGCCACAAAGGATTCAACCCCAGGCCCTCAGAAGCCAAAGGTGTGTATTCATGGAGCCTGGAAGGGTGGCAGTAGGGGTTTGATCACGTGGTCGACCAGTTGGGTGGTGATCCCCATGGGTAGGTGGGGGTGGCTGTTCTCTGCTCAGTGCCCATGCGACTCTGTGAATTCCCACACCTCTTCCTTGCAGCACGAGCTATACATCCGTGCCTTCCAGAAACTGACAGACTTCCCTCCGGTGAGTGCTGGGCCAGAGCAGGGTGAGGGGCTGAGAGGCTGGGCTTGGACCACCCTTCCTCATGACTCTGTGACCTGCAGATTAAGGACCAGGCGGACGACACCCACTACTGCCAGCTGGTGCGACAGCTGCTGGATGACCACAAGGATGTGGTGACCCTCTTGGCAGAGGGCCTGCGTGAGAGCCGGAAGCACATAGAGGTTGGGGCACTAAAGGAGGGGTTGGGCCTGCTGGGGGCTGGGAAGGGCACGGGATTCTGAGACCTCACTCTTTACAGGATGAAATGCTCGTACGCTACTTCTTAGACAAGACGCTGACTTCGAGGCTTGGAATCCGCATGTTGGCCACGCATCACCTGGCGCTGCATGAGGACAAGGTAGGGCTCTGGGACCTGAAACCCACCTGGGAACGTTAAGTGAGACAGAGGAGACTGGGCTGGGGATCCGTGTCAAGGGCCTGGGGGTTGAGGCTGTGGAGCTGGTGCTTTGGGGCAGTTCCGAAGTTGCCAGCATCTGGGGGTGGGGCTAGGGGTGTGGGTAGTCCTGACCTCCTTTCTCCGGCCAGCCTGACTTTGTCGGCATCATCTGTACTCGTCTCTCACCAAAGAAGATTATTGAGAAGTGGGTGGACTTTGCCAGGTGAGGCAAGAATGGCTCAGGGGGTGGTCAGACGTCTGGGGCAGGGAAGGATTGGGTCTGAGCCCTTGCCCGGGGCATGGTCTGTGGGGAGCAGGGTTTCTCAATGATGGCACTATTGACATTTCCAGCCAGATAATTCTTTGTCATAGGGGCTGCCCTGTGCATGTTAGGAAGTTCAGCAGCATCCCTGGCGCCAGTAGTATTGCCTAGTTGTGACAAACAAAAATGTCTCTGTACATTGCCATATATTACTTAGGGGGGCAGAATTGTCTCCAGTTGCAAACCACTGGTGGAGGGGCCCCTGACTGAACCCTCGCTTCTGTCCACAGACGCCTGTGTGAGCACAAGTATGGCAATGCGCCCCGTGTCCGCATCAATGGCCACGTGGCCGCCCGGTTTCCCTTCATCCCTATGCCACTGGACTACATCCTGCCGGAGCTGCTCAAGAACGCCATGAGGTGGGGTGGCTGGATGTGCTGGGTGGGAGGCAGACAGGAACCGGGGTGCTTCTACTTACTGGTCTTTCCCCTCTGCATAGAGCCACAATGGAGAGTCACCTAGACACTCCCTACAATGTCCCAGATGTGGTCATCACCATCGCCAACAATGATGTCGATCTGATCATCAGGTTTGCCCCGAGTGGGAGTTCGACTGAGGTGGATGGGATGGGGGTCCAGGCACTGTTTCTGACTTGATCTAGGACCTTGAGCCCCTTTCTGCCCCATTCTGGGACTTGGTCCTTGACCAGATAAACTATTCTCTGGATCCTGAGATGGCCATGAGCTGCTTATTAATGGATCTGGGGCTAGTTGCAGGCCTAGGTATCCTGCCTCTGTCAGCAGCTGAGGAGCTTGAAATTGAGAAGCAGTCAGGAGTTGGTCTAGGATGCTGGGCCGAGGATAAATGTCACATCCTGTGAGAAGGTATAAGCAGTCAGTGGCCCTGGCAGAGGTGAGGATGATACAAACAAGGCCCAAGGGTCTAGGTGGTCCACATTCCAGCTCTGGGTGGAAGGGACAGGAAGGCAAACTTTGCACTGTCTGCTTGCTGGGTGGTGAGTCCCCCGTCAAAGCTGAGCCAAGCCCATTATTGTTGCCATCTTGCTAGGATCTCAGACCGTGGTGGAGGAATCGCTCACAAAGATCTGGACCGGGTCATGGACTACCACTTCACTACCGCTGAGGCCAGCACACAGGACCCCCGGATCAGCCCCCTCTTTGGCCACCTGGACATGCACAGTGGCGCCCAGTCAGGACCTATGCACGGGTGAGACCCTGTCAGGCCAGGATGGAGGGGTGGGGGACCCCAGGAGACTCAAGCCTCTGAAGCCTCCTGTCCTGTCCCCCTGCCCACCACCAGCTTTGGCTTCGGGTTGCCCACGTCACGGGCCTACGCGGAGTACCTCGGTGGGTCTCTGCAGCTGCAGTCCCTGCAGGGCATTGGCACGGACGTCTACCTGCGGCTCCGCCACATCGATGGCCGGGAGGAAAGCTTCCGGATCTGACCCCACAGCCTTTGGCCTGCTCACCTGACCAGCCTGGGCCGCATTCCCTGCAGGACCTCCTGGGTCAGGCAGGGTGGCCTCCTGCTCCACACGCTGCTGCATCTTGGGTCTCAGGGTCCCAGACAGATGGACTTACATGGAGCTGGGCACCGCCCCGCCTCAATAGGGTCCATTGTCTCCTCGCCTCCAGACCTTGGAGAGGGGAAGTGGGCACCCTGAGGCCTCCAGCACCAGCTCCGTCATTCTCGTTCCTGGGGAACCCCCACTCTGACCTGTCGTTTGTTATTAAAGTTCACATTTTGAATGCCCTCTCGGGCCCTGTGTGTGGGGAGGGCAGGTGAGCTTTTGTTTCTGTCCCCATTCAGGTTCACTGAGCCCTTGGGTTGAACTGGTTTGTGTCCCAGTCTCTTACCTGCCCTGAGAGCCTGGTGGGCCAGGAGTAGAATGGGTCCCAAGTCTGTTGCATGTTTGATTTGGTGGGAGTGGGATGACCGCAGCACCTTATACAAAGAGCTTTCATCTCGTTGAACAAATATTTCTGGGTCCCAGATAATATCGAAGGCCCAGATTGACCCAGCTTCTGGCCTCAGTTCTGACTCTTCCTTTCCTGGCAGTTACAGTTTCTAGAAGTGAAGGTCACCAGACTGGGCAACCTCCTGAGCCAACTGATTCCCGAGCCTGAGTAAGGTTAAAAATACTGTGTCTGCTGCTGCCAAGGAAAAGAACATACAAGGTTGTGCCCTGGCAGGCCCCAGCAGGGACTGGGTGCCCCACTGCAAGGAAAGGTGGGGCCCTGATAGGGAGGAGCAAGGATTTGGACAAAGATACCAGGTAGGCTCAAGGTTAGACTTGAATCAGAACTCCAGATGACATCTTAGGTGGGAACACCCTACCCACCTTGCCAGGGAAGAAGAAAGGCCTAAGGGTGGCCTGGTGGGGCTGGGAGAACTGGAAAGTTCTCTTACTTTCACATCTGAGCTTCCACAGCACACTTCCTAAGGTTGACTCTAGGCCTGTACCATCTCCTACCCTTCAGGGGGATGGAGGGTAAGTTGTATCTGGAAGTCAAATGGAGGGGGCTAGGAAACCACAGTGACTTGCTAGACTGAAAAATCCTGCCAGCTGCAGGGCAGGACGGTGAGGCTGGAGAAGCAGGCAGCCGTCAGAGGCCAGGGCCCTGAAACATGGGATTTATCTTGAGGCAGTAGGGACCCATGGGTATTTACTTAGAAATGGGGTCTGGCTCTGTTGCACAGGCTGGAATATGGTGGCTGCAGAGTTCACTGCAGCCTTGAACTCCTGGGCTCGAGATTCTCCCACCTCAGCCTTCTGAGTAGCTGGGACCATCATGCCAGGCTAAATTTTAAAATTTTTTGTAGAAACAGGGTTTCTACAAAACCCTATGTTGCCCTGGGCTGGACTTGAACTCTTGGGCTCAAATGATCCTTCCACCCCAGCCTCCCAAAGTGGTGGGATTACAGGCATGAGCCACTGTACCTGGCCCATGGGTGAGTTTTGAGCTGGGAAGGGATGGTTCTGGTTGGAGTCCCTGAGAGGATTCGTGTCCACGTGATTTGTTAAGAAAGTGCTCCCAAAACAGAGCAGGGGAAGCAGGAAGGAGAAGGGGAAAAAGCCAAGCAAGGACATGACCTCAGGCAAAAGCCCAGAACCAGTCAATTATGCCTCAGGGTGGAAGGTGAGAGAGCTAAACCTCAGAGTCACTGATTAATTTCTCCACTTGGCAGTCACTGGTTAAAGTCTGTCGGTAAAGCAAGCAGCTCTGTTAAGGATGGAGTTTTAAGAAGAGTCTCAGGTGCTGGTGTGGGCCTTTGAAAGCACATCAAAGGTAATCTGGGCCACACAGAAACAGAAACAGCAAGAACTCCCAGAGGATCTGGGTGGAGCGCCTACATGGTTTTTTTAAATTTGTTTTGGTTTTTGAGACAGAGTCTCAATTTGTCGCCCAGGCTGGAGTGCAGTGGCATGATCGCTCACTGCAACCTCCGCCCCACGCCCCCCAACCCTGGGTTCAAGCAATTCTCCTGCCTCAGACTCCTGTGTAGCTGGGATTTACAGGCACATACCACCACACCCAGCTAATTTTTGTATTTTTCGTACAGATGGGGTTTCGCCATGTTGGCCAGGCTGGTCTTGAACTCCTGACCTCAGGTGATCTGCCTGCCTCAGCCTCCCAAAGTGCTGGGATTACAGCTGTGAGCCACCATGCCCAGCCGTTTTTGTTTTTGAGACCGAGTCTTGCTCTGTCGCCCAGGCTGGAGTGCAGTGGCCAGATCTCAGCTCACTGCAAGCTCCGCCTCCCAGGTTTATGCCATTCTCCTGCCTCAGCCTC